TTGGACCTTTCCACAAACAGAGAGGACCTTGGTTTCCCAGGGAGAAGACTTTCTAGCTCTTGACTGGAGGTCTTTCTACTGTTCTATGGTGCTAGTCTGTGTATGACTCCGTAGGCGAATCATAAAACATCTGTCCCTTTCCAGGCTCTCACCAAAACGTTTCCTAAAAAGTAAAACTATGAATGTGATACAGTTGATCTGTTTATTCCATCTCATGAAAGAAATTGGTTTTCTTGTGTGAAAGATCAATCAGATAATGCCCTGAACTTCATAGTTTACTTAAGAAATCAGATGCATTTCATCTTTGTTTTGGAAGTTCTTAGTGTTTCCCTGACCCAGTTTCTTCCAAATGTCTGTGTTCAGGGCTAAGCTGTCAGGTACCTGGATGGCTTGCTCCTTCATGCTAAAAGCCTGGCATGCTGTTCGCTGCTGCCCTCACTGTTTTCTGTCATTGATTGCGAGTCTGGTGTCTGGGATGTTAATAGCCCCATGATAGGAAAGGCAAGGTGGAACTCAGTGTAGGCTACAGATAGGATCACTGGGCATGAGCGTGCATGGTATAACCAGGTGGAGACAACCTCTATACCCCAGTGAGCACCAGATGGACACGATGGAAGTTATGAGACAAGAGGAATGCACCAACCAGAATGTAAAGAACTTGAGAAATGGAGATGAGAACTGAGTGTATCGAAGCAAGCTCATTTGATGCCGCAACACCGGCGCTTACTGCCTTCCCAAAGAAGATTTTGGGGGGCACAAAACACACTCCCTACAGATAGAGTGGGAGAACAGTGAAGTAGGCAGTGGTGTTTTCTTTGGCGAACCCCCCCCCCCATTTTTTCTTTTTATACTGTCTGAGACCAGGTTGGAAAAAGGCCTTGAGCAACAAGGAGACCTTCAAAGGGAACTCCAGGAGCAGGAATCCCTCTCCAGGCTGGTTCTGCAGGTAGCTTTGCCCCCTGGGGCCTTGGCTTCTTTTTGAGAGCTTGAGGGGATTGATGAGGATACCCTGAGTTTGGGGAGAGACTGATGAGCAGATAGAGGCTGGATCCCTGAGAACTTTCTCTGTCATTGCTCCCAGGATATCTGTGATGTCTTCACAAGAGGCTGCAAGGGGAGGCCAGGAATCAAGGAAGCCATTTTCAGGAGTATCTAGGTATCCAGTGCAGAATTTTCTGATTCTGAAGAAACTACCTCAGAAGTGCTCACTTCTTCCCTAGAAGGATGGTCCTTCTGTAGTCAGATCCTGGCCTTACTTGTAGTAGTAAAAGTCACTTAGTATGGGGCTGGAGAGATGGCTCAGTGTTTAAGAGCACTGACTGCTCTTCCAGAGGACCCAGGTTCAATTCTCAGCACCCACATGGCAGCTCACACCTGTCTGTAACTCTAGTTCCAGGGCTTCGGACACCTTCACACAGACATACACACAGGCAAAAACACCAATGCACATAAAATAAAAATAAATTTTTAAAAAATTGAAAAAAGAAAAAGCCATTTAATGGCATGTGCTCAGAGCCCCAGCTACTCAGAAGGCTGAAGCAAGACCCTGAACCCAAAGGTTTGAGGCCAGCCTGGGTACCATAGTAAGATTCTGTCTTTAAAAACCGTAGTTTTTTCAGTTCACAAACCCATTGGTGTGTGCTATCTCATTTAATTCTCAGGTCAGTCCTGCGGCTAATCCTGTCCTGAGGCTCAGGTGGTGGTCAGCCCTAGCCAGGATCTGTTGGCCCCAACCCCTCCAGCCTTACCTTCCTCTCTCTCTCCTCCCCCCTTCTCTTCTTTTCACACCTTTAGTCATTTCTTGCTCGTCCTCCAGAGCTTCTCCTGTCTGAGATTTGCTGGAGGCACCAAGCACTATCACCATGCCCCAGCCAGTGTTTGCACTTTTCTTGGGAATCTGGTCAGTGCCAGAGCCCCACTTGTGAGTTTCCATCTTCAGCCAGAGCTCATCAAACATTCATTGAGTGTCTCCATGGCTCCGAGCTGCGCTCTGAGCAGGGCCTCAGCAAAAAGATGAATAATTCACGGATGGTGGCCTGTATCCTCTGGATTTGTGTCCCTCCCTCTTTTTCTCTTTCTCAGACTGGGGCTTGAACCTGGGTCCTCCAGTTCCAGACATTCACCTCTCCTCCAGCCTGCCCTGTTTTGTCTATGCTTTTTGGCCCATCTGCCTTGCTTGCTTACCTCTTAGAGTCAAAGGAAGGCAAAGGGGAGCAGAGGTGGGTTCCGTCTTTCAGCCGCTCCTATACTGCGCTTGTGAAAAAGATTGAGAAAATGGGATTTTGCCCCTGTGGAAAGGGCAGGAGGGTCAGGATACTGAAAAGAACCTGAGTTGGGAGTCTCTAGGCCTGGAGGGCAGCTCTCCTCAGCTGAGTAGGAGCCATCTGGCTTCTGCCCTCTGCTGTGGGAGGGAGACCCCATATCCAGTCCCAGCATCCCCTAGTAGTGGTTCTGGTAAAATACAAATGGAATTGGGCTGGGGAGATGGCTTAGTAGTAGTTAAAATGCTTGCTGCCCAATAGTGAGAATGAAGCTCAGATCCCAGAACCCACATAAATACCGGGTGGGGGTGGCAGCTGATTTGGGATTCTAGCCTCTGACTGCAGAGGGATGGGACCCCCCAGAGCAAGCTGGCAAGCGAGACTAACTGTGCCAGTGAACTCTGAGTTTGATTGAGAAGCCCTGCTTTGGTGGATAAAGTGGAGGAGCAGTTGAGGATGATTCTCAGCATTAATCTTGGGCCTCCACATGCATGCACATGTATGCACATGCATGCACATGTGTGCACATGCACATGTGCAAAACCATATGCACACATCCATGAAAAGGGAAGGGGGAAAACGGCATCACATCTTCATGCCTGGTCTGCCTCTGTGGGGACTTGCTTCCGGTGCAGCCAGGGGAGTCCACACATCCTGTGTTAGCAGATATTCTCTTGCCAAGGGGCTCATGGGCCGCAGAACACTGTCTACCTATTTATTCTCTTTTCCTTGCAAGGGACAAGACCAGCAGACTTTCTCCCTGCCTGCACCTATGTGCTGCAGAAAGGAAATCAGAAACCAGGGTCCCTGGTGTCTGCTGTCTTCTTTAATCTCTACCTGTGAAATCCAGGGTCCCTCCTGCTTCTCCGCCTGCTTTGAGCAGTCGTCAGAGAACTCTGGATTACCAAATGAAGCACTATGCACCCTGCTTATTGAGCCTGTGCTTCTCAAATCCTGGGCTAAATTCGTGGATGTGGAAAGTATCTTATCATAGCTGTGCTGTGCAGAAGAACCTGGGCACATTCAGAAACAGGTTTTGGGACCTTGAGCTCAGCGCAAGGACAGGACAGTGAGTTCTGCCCAGAGGTGGTAGTGTCAGGGAAGCTGTGCCTGGAGAAGAAGCTGGATGACTGCAGAGGGAGACCTAGCAGACAAGCAGCAAGCGCCCTGTTTAAGAATCAGGGCCGCTGACCCCACCCCAGGAGCCTGTTCAGAGCTCCTCCTGCACCTGCAGGCCGCCCCTTTCACTTTCCCTGAGTCTTGGCCTTTTTGTAGAGAAGCCTGAGCCTGGGGCTAGCAGAACTGGGCCACCCTCCTCACTGCCTGCCTGAGGCTCCCGGGACAGCAGGCTTCTCTCTCTGAAAAGATCCTTGGTTTTGATCTGGCCCCTTGATTTAATCTTGCCCTTTCTATTCCGCTAGGAGAGATTTATTTTGTTTGTTTTCTAAATGTAGAGGTTGAAAGATAAAGAAACGCTGTCTCTTCTGAACCCAGAGTTCCTAATAGTAGTGTTTGGTCAATTCGCTTTCTCTTTATGTGTAGACAATTTTCTTTTGAAATTAGGTTGTATCAAAACCAGGTGTGGTGAGCATTGCCTTTAATCTCAGCTCTGGGAAGGTAGGGACAAGAGGATCAGGGATTCCAGCCTCCGGCTGTCCTAACAAGTCTGAGGCCAGTTTGTGCTACCTGATAACACTGTCTCAAAAGTGCAAACCAGGGTGGACTAGATGAATCTTCAGTTAAAGCTCTTGCTGCCAAGCCTGATGACCCGAGTTCAGTCCCTGGGACCCATATGGTGGAAGGGGAGAATGGACCATCCAAACATTGCCTTCTCACTTCCACATCTGCTGGGTGTGCACACAAATAAATAAATTAAAAATAAATAAATAAATAAAAACCCTTAAGTGAAACAGGCTGGAGGGATGGCTCAATGGTTAAGAACACTGTCTGCTCTTCCAGAGGGTCTGGGTTCAATTCCTAGCACCCACATGGTGGCTCACAGCCATCTGTAACTCCAGTTTCAAGGGATCCAATGCTCTCTTCTGGCTTTCTTGGGCTCCAGGCACACACATTATATATATATATATATATATATATATATATATATATATATATATATATATATATATATGCAGGCAGGAGCTGTGGTTCATCTGGTAGAGTGTTTGCCTAGCATACTCCTGGATTCAATCCTGAGCATGGCATAAACTAGGCATGGTGGCACATGCCTGTGGTCCCAGCACTTGGGAGATTAAAGCAGGAAGATCAAGGTCATCTTCGACTACATGTGAGCTTATGAGCCAGCCTGGGTGACATGAAACCTGGCCTTAAAAAAATTAATAATCCCTATTGAGTCAAAAATCCAGTGCCCGTTTTTATTTCCACATCTACCTCCCAAAAGTTTATGGAACTTCTGTTTTCCCTCCAACCAGGAGCCTTTCTAGTGAAAGCATGTGGTTTACATGTCTCCATTTAGTCCATTGTCCCACACTTACATCTTCCTACCTCACTATGTTGGCTTTTCTGGTCGTTTTTCCTGGTACCATATGGCTTGTTCAACTCAGTCCTGCAGTGCCTCAATTTGATTTCGTGGTGGGAGGCAGGATAAACGTGGAACTGGAGCATCCAGTTACACACTCTGGGGCATCTGGTGCAGACTCAACTCTGGAAGAGGTGTTTGATTTGGTGGAGGTAATCTTTGTCATGTATGTACTGTGTAGAAGAGGCAGGCAGAACTACTTCCCACATGATGAATAGTTCTCTTCTTTATTCTTCTGTGCATTTTCTAATGTTGCCAGAATTAAGCATATTTTCACTTCATCTTCGGAACAAGAGAGATTAAAATGCAGAACATAATACTAATGTTAGAGGAAGTTTGCAAACTAATGAAAATAAAACAAGGCATAACCCATGTCTTTAGCAATAGTTTAGATCCCTCCAACCCTGTTGCAGGATTTTTCAGGAGTTATTTTACCTAGTTCCACATTATTGTTTAATGTCATCTAAGCACATTTTCTATGCTGTAGTCATTTTCTAAATGTTAGGGATCGAGCTGAGAGCCTCACACATGCTGGGCAAACATTTTTATCACTGAGTTAAACTCCTACCCTGGGTCTTATCCCTTCACTGATAATTGTGGATGTGTGATGAGGAGATCTCTGGAGTGGTAGATGGTGTAGTTTGTGCACTGCCAAAGACACTCAGCTCAGGAGTAGTCCAGGACTGTCTTCTCTGAGTCCTGTGCCTACCTGCTACACCTCCCTGGGGACCTGTCTGTCCGCAGACCTTTGGCCAGCTCAGCAGACCTGGTGCCAGTGCAGAAGCTCAGGGTGGATACTGTTTGCCGTTGGAGCCCTGCAATGGGAACGTGTCCTGGGGTTGAGTCTGGAGTGAAGTCCCGCTTGTTATCTGAGCAGAGATTGGGGCTGCTGCTAAGCATCATCTTTCCTGGAATGAGAGAAGCCGGCAGAGGGCGGGGGCTCAGTTTGACCACCTGCTTCTCTGCTTCCCAGGATGCCTTCCGCGCCTTCCACCTGGACCTTGACTTCGTGGGCAAGTTCTTGAAGCCCCTGCTGATTGGTGAGCTGGCCCCAGAGGAGCCCAGCCTGGACCGTGGCAAGAGCGTGAGTGGGACTTGTAACCTTGATGGGGTGGGATGAGGCCAGATGGACAGTAGGGGTGAGAATACTGTCTTCCTCCCCAAGACCCTGCTGTCAGGGCAGTGACAGGAGAGCCTTTGAGTCTGCCCAGGAGGAGCACCTAGGTCAGGGAGGACCTCAGAGTGTCCCCTGGAAGCCTCCAGCCGGGTGATAGTTAACGGCATCCCCTCTCTCCCAGTGGGTCTCTGCCCCTCTCCTTTACACGAAGTTGCCAGATGTTGGTCTGGTACAGGACTATCTGAGAAAGGGCAGAAACAGTGAGACAGTATCAGCTAATGAAAAGTGTGGCTGTTTGGAATGAGTCACTTTGAGAATCACGTACTCATTTGTCACTGAGTGAGACCCTCTACTGAGTGCTGGCCTTCAAAGACGTATGTAAAAATAACTCCCCAGGCCTCACCAGCTGAGTGTTCAGTGGTGAAGCCGCTTACAGGCCAGACCTGGCTTGCATGATGGAGGAGCTGTGTAGAACAGCATGCTTTAGAGTTTCTCGAACCCTCGAGAGTCCCTCTCCTCTCCTCCCCTCAATCCCTATCTTTCCCTGCTCAAGTCACCCTTGTCATGGAGCCTAGGCTGAGGGTACCATCCCTGTGTCCTGAGCCTGCTGGCCTGCTGGGTGCGATGGTTCAGGTCCTCAGAGCTGAGGCAGTTTCCCCTTCGACAGGCACACTGTGTGTGGCCTTGGTGCCAGCAGGAGAGGGTGGGCCACCATCGTCCCTGCCTGTCTTAGGGAGATGGCACCTCCTGCTGCCATCCAGGGCAGAGAAGTTTCCTGAGAGAAACCAGGCCAGGCTGGCCCCTCCTGCTCCCTGCCTGAGCTGGAGTAATTCCTCACTAGCCTCTACCTCAGGGTCCCAGCAAAGCCTGCCTGGCAGGGCACAAGCTCTTTCCTGGCCTGGATTCTTGGTTGGTCCTCCATGGAGGACTCTCTGCCGCCCTGGCCCCCATGCTCAGCGCTCACTGTGGCTTCTCTGGCATCCTCGGTGCTCATGAGCAGGATCCCATCCTGCACCTGCACAGAGTCGGGTAGTGAAAGAGGCAAACGCTGTCTTCTGAGGTTAGACTCAGTGGCATGTCTGGCAACTGCACTATTGCAGAACTGTCCTCACCGTCCAGTTCTAGAGCCTTTAGACCATCTCCAACTGACATTCTGTGACGTTAACAACAGCTCCTCACTCCCTTCAGCCCCTGCCAAATACCATTCCATTGTCTGAAATATTTGACTCCCCCAGGCACCTCATGAATGGAATCGTGTACTTGTCCTTTACAAAACTGTACTACAAAAGTGTATCTTTTGTTGTTCTTGTTTTCTTTATTGTTTTGATACAGGGTCTCATGTAGCCCAGGCTAGCCTTGAACTCCTCTCAAGTACTGGGATTGCAGGCATGGGCTGTCACATCTGACAACTAGTGCATATCGATTGTACAGAATAGTAGGTTTTGTTCGGACCTCTTCATGCAAGCATTTGTCCTTTTATAACTGGCCTGTTTCATTGATCACAAACTTCACTCATGATAGGACACATTGTAGCAGCGTGCCAAATTTCCCTTTGTTTTTAAGGCTGAATAGTCTATGTGCAGAACACAATCAGGTATACCCAACCTGTAGCCTAACACAAAACTGTACACTTACTTAAACATTACTGTGTGTGTGTGTGTGTGTGTGTGTGTGTGTGTGTGTGTGTGTGTGTGTGTGCGTGTGTGCTGTAACTTGAATTAGAAAAAGTTCTGAAGTATGTTGTGGATGACAACATTGTGTTACAGTGTCAAAAGGACTGATACACCTGGAACTTAGTTCCTCATCCATCATTGGATATTTGGATATTTTTTTTAAAAAAAAGTGTGTGTGTGTGTGTGTGTGTGTGTGTGTGTGTGTGTGTGTGTGCGCGCATGTACATGTGGATGCCTATGGAGGCCCAAAGAGGGCATCAGATCCCCTGGAGCTGTCATTACCGGCAGCTGTGAGTGGCCCTACATAAACATTGGGAACTTCTGTCCTCTGTGAGAGCTGCAGTCACTCTTAACCCTGTTTCTGTTTTTGCCTGTTGTGAATAATGCTTCTGAGAACGTTGGTTAGGAGATACAAGTTGCTTATTATTAATTACTGTTAATACTACACGGGGTCATAGGAGTCCATTTTCACACACACATGCAGTGTACTTGGAGCATGTTGTCCCATATCTTCCATCCCCCCTTCTAGCCCCTCCTTCTATCTCCTTTAGTCCTTTCATTTTTTTCTTAACCTTTATTTTTATGTGTTTGAGTGTTCTGCCTGCATGCATGTCTGTGCATTACATGCATGCAGTACTCTTGGAGGACAGAAGAGGGTGTTGGATGTCCCTGAGACTGGATTTACAGACAGTTGAGAGCCACCAACTCAATGCTGGGAATCAAACCCTGGTCCTACGGAAGAGCAGCCAGTGCTCTTAACTACTGGGCCATCTCTCCAGCCCTGCCAGTCCCTCTTGTTCCCATACAGCTCTATTTCTAGTTTAGTGTCATCTGTACATATAAGATATTATATATCTGTGAAGTCTAGAATCCGCTTGAGAACTGAGAAAACACAGCATATTTGTCTTTCTGAGACTGGCTCAATTCACTTAGTATGATTAAAAGTACAAGCTTTTGTGTCCAGCTTTTCTTCTGCTTCTTATCCAGCTGCGACGTATCTGTAGTAATGGTGGCTGTTGCTGCATCTGGTGACTGGGCTCACACAGGATTCAAGATGCTTGCCACAGCTATGGTGTGTACGGGGCTTGAACACATGTCCCCTTGGAGGGTCTAGTGGCTGACTCTCTTCTGTGTCCTTGCTCAACAGTCTCAGATCACCGAGGACTTCCGGGCCCTGAAGAAGACTGCTGAGGACATGAACCTGTTCAAAACGAACCACCTGTTCTTCTTCCTCCTCCTGGCCCACATCATCGTCATGGAAAGCATCGCCTGGCTCAGCCTCTCGTACTTTGGCAACGGCTGGATTCCCACCCTCATCACCGCCTTCGTTCTTGCTACCTCTCAGGTGAGGCCTGACTCCCTTGACCAGGATCTGAGCATTCCCACCCCTCCGATCCCTCGAGGCTGTTTGCTGATGCTGCAATGACATTCACAGCCCTCTTTCCCCAGGCCCAAGCTGGATGGCTGCAGCATGATTATGGCCATCTTTCTGTCTATAAGAAATCCAGATGGAACCACATTGTCCACAAGTTTGTCATTGGCCACTTAAAGGTAAGTATTGGGGTTACGGGTGATGATGACTCAGAAAGTAAATCCCTGGGGAAAACCTGAATTTGATACCCAGAATGCATGTAAAAATGCTGGTTATAGTGTGACATGCTTGTAATCCCAGTACCGAGGAGGCAGAGACAGGAGGATTCCTAGGGCTCACTGGCCAGGCAGTGTGAACTACCTGCTGAACTCCTCCAGTGTGAGGTGGACAGTGTTCCTGAGGAGGCCACCTAAGACTGCCCAGCCTCCACATGCATGTGCACATGTGTGCAGCCTCCCCTCAAACATGCAGCTACATGTACACACACATTGAAAATGGGGAAACTGGAGGATAGAGGGGTCTATCAGCAGCCTGGGTAATCATCCCATTAGATTAATTCTCTGTAAATGGAAAATATCCCAAGTTAAAAACATATGTAATTCCCCTAGCCCACCAAACCTCACAGCTTAGCAACAGAAGGCAATGTAGCGTGTTGGTTGTTTAATGATCCGTGGCTGCTGCTACACAACCAAAAGCCACGGTAAATCAAGAACTGCAAATCACCTCTACTGTCATTTTAGATGGGTCCTTAGTGAGAGACATCAAACTGTTTAATACTTAACTAAACCAAAGGACTGAAGTTGTTTAAAACGGAGACAGTGTGTTGGTTCTGCTCAGATGGGGCCGTGCCCCCTGGAGGGGAGTTACAGTCAAGCGAGACGCCAAGCTTGCCAGTGACCTTGAGCTGGTCTGATAGGTGTTACCCCAACTTGGGAAACCATTTCTCGCCAACTGTACTCAACCCTGCAACAAAATACCAGCCACAAACAGTGTAGGAGAGGGGGGATTTCTCTTAGCGGCTTGAGGTCTCAGAAGTGTTGCTCTGTAATCCTCGGCTCTGCTAATTCTGGGCCCTCGGTGAGGCAGAATACCCTGCCGGTGGAAGCATGTGGCAGGAGCTACTTAACTCAAGGCAAGTAGGAAGAAGACCGTGAGGAAGAAAGGGGTCAGACACACCCTTCAAAGGTGTGCCCCTCCATTGATCTGCTTTTCCCATCTCCTCAAGTTCCTGCCGTCTACTGAAATAGTGCCATTGGCGTCGGACTGAGGGTTCAACCTGCAAGCTGATGGAGATGTGCCGTACTCAAACCATAACATGCTCTCTCAAACAAAACCCACTATCTCCCATAATCAGTCCATCTCAATAGCATCTAGTTGCTTCCTCAGAAAAGCTAGGTCCCCAGACTTGTACACTCCGGTCTTTGGCTGGGGAAGAGCCCTGTGCCCAGGTTAAATATCTCCGCTCTGTGACCACCGCACCCTTGCTTTGCTACTGGATTGGATTGTGAGTGAGCCAGCAATGATCTGCTCAGCAGTTCCCAGTTAGCAGTTTACCTGGCCCTGAGCCTTAGAGGGTTGGGAATCGGGACTCTTCCCAGAACCTCAGGAGGGAACCCACATAAGGGCTTTGTTTCATTTTGTACTTTCCTCTGTGGCCTAAAATCCTCCCCTGTGTAGGAAAGAAACATTTTACCCACTGCCCCTGTCCTCCCCATGCCATGAACAAAGATGGACTGTGTCCTATTTCCAGATTCCGGCAGAGTCTTGAGGGCCCTTCCTGTTCCAAGGCCTTGAGTCCTTGAAGGATAGTTTGAAACACAGCTCTTACATCAGACAGACAAGGGCAGGACAGAGGGCTGGCTTCCCTGTAGAGCATTTGCTTGTGAAAATGTTACTCTGGGGGCTGGGATGTAGCTCAGTTGGTAGAATGCTTGCTGAGCATCCTGAAGCCCTGGGTTCATCCCCAGCACCATATAAACTGAGTGTGGTGGTACAACTTGCTCTCTCTTTCTCGCTTTATTTTATTTATTTTAGACATGGTCTCACTATGTAGCCCTGATTGACCTACAATTCCCCATATAGATCAGACTGCTTCTGCCTCCTGAGTTCTCGGATTAAAGGCACATGCCACCACGCCTGGCTGATATACCATTTTTTTTTTTAAATGATCAACCCTTTAACTCCAGAACGCCAAAATATAAAATGTTCAAAAGTGTTGAAAAGTATATCAAAACAAAACTTATTATGCCTTTCTTTTATTAAGAAAAAAAACTTTGTGGTGCTGGGAATTGAACCCAGGGCCTTGCACACGCTAGGTAAATGCTCTACCACCAAGCTACAGCTACAGCCCTTTTGTTACACTCTCATTTCAAGGTAAGATAATGTAATTAAAAGTATTTAAGTATGTCAAGCTCAGAAAGTGTCTCACTTGAAAACAAGATGATCCCCAAAGTAGATCTTGAAAGTATTACAGATGCACTTGCCAGGGTGCACACTTTCTCTTTTGCCCCAGGCTGTGAGCTGACTACCCAGCTCTGCTGGCTCCACTTCTGCTGAGGCGTCTTCTTGCCAGGTGCGGTGGAGCACCTTGTGGCCCAGTCCTAGTAGTTGGGAGGCCAAGGCAGTATGAGCCCAGCCTGGCCTCAGATAAGCACATCGTCTCTTGGCTCACCCACCACTGGTCTCTTGGCTCAGCACTGCCTCCCCTGGGCCCAGGCCAGCAGCTGGCTTGGAGCAGACACCACTCACCCCTTATTCTGAGAACACAGAATCCTTAGACAGATGCAGTGCTGTGGAGGAGGCATTGCTGAAGGATAAGTAGGGCTTTGCCTGGTGAAGGAGAATGGGAGAGACTCAAAGCAGGGCTGAATCAAAGCACGAACAGCCCAAATATCATGGTGTCTGGTCCCAAGTCCAGGGAGGGGGTGTGTATCCCACCTGGATGACGCTCACTCCTCACTCCACAAACATCTCTAGGTTGGTGGGCTTTCAGCCGGCTTACTTGTTACCTACCTCGCTCCTCAGTGTCCTCGTGCCAGGGACTTTTCCATCTGGTGCTTCTCTTGGGAACGTTGTTCCTGTTGGCTTCAGATGCGAATGCGTCATCCGACTCCTTCCCACTCGGTCACGCTGCTTTTTGCTGTGGTGGGTTTCGAAGCCTGTTG